ACTTACTAAGAAAAAACTCATCTAATTACGTAATTCAAATACGAATTGTAAGCTGCTTACAGAAGATTAATTTACAGCAGATAATTATCTGTGTAAACTTTCAGCATTTGCTGCTGCATTAGTTTAACATTTCCCTAGTTGTTGGATTTTTCCTATAATTCAAACCATTAAATATAAAATCTACCTTGAATAATCCTTCACTAGGATTTAATATCTCAATAATCAAAGTAGACGTTGCACTCTTGTCGCAATGATGTACGCCTTATTCATAATCCACTGTAAAACTGAGTGCGGTGTCTATTTTATTGCTTATTCTGTTCAAAGAGATTAACAGATGAATTGGAAAATAGCAGTGCACATATTCCATAAAATTATTTTTCTAAAAATATGATTTTGTCATCCGGTATGAGTCACAATTTATGTTTATATGTATAGAACATATATATGGAATGTAACAACAGATATTTCCATGGACTGTGATGACTTAGATTTATTATTGTCAACATCAATTGAGTGTGGCAGCACCAAGCAAAGCTTTTAGTGTCAAATATATTTTCCAAATGTCTAGGAAGCACTTACATTTGGTTTTAAAGCTTTGACAAATGTAAAAAGAAGATAGGAATCTATTATCAGAATATTTCTCATGTCCCATCAATGTTCATGTCAAAATCCAACAGTTTGGGCTAACTAACTTTCTGTCAAGTATATCACTTAAATAATGTCAGTGTAAATCTTCAACCTCACCCCAGATCATAACAGGACAAAATAGATTACCCTTGTTTGCATTCAAAGGATGAATGTTTGTTAGGTTATGTAATGAAAGGAGACTTAGTCTCCAAGATCTATGAAATAGAAAATTTATTCCATACAATTAGGCAAGCATATTCATTGCACATATATTCCCCTGGGTCCATACTCAAGTGTCATGTGATTTTTCTTTGACCATAAATAAAATGTGAAAAATTTAATAAATAAACTGGAAACAACAAACAGTCATTGCCTACACCACAGTTTTGCCCTTCAAAATACAGAAATAGTCACCAATATTTCATAGAAGCTATACTTTAGAGCATACTTGAAGGTATCTCATATATTTTTACAGCTTCACTTTTCTGACAGAGGCTCAGCTGGCGATTAATACTTTCTGCCACACAAAGCAGACTATTCAATCTTTAATTCACTATTTCTGCAGTTAGTTGATCCATGCAGAAAAAGGGATGTTATAATTCTATTCAACAGCTTTGGTGCAGGGAAGGAAACAGTACTAGTGTCCCATCTTGTTGGCTAACAGCAATTCAATTGCAAGTGCTGTGTTGATCTGTCTCTCATGTTCAAATAGCTCGTCAAAACAGAATCAGACATTATTGCATTAGAGGAACAAGCCATATGGTCTTTCAAACCTGCCTTAGTTCTGAATCCAAGTCTTTTCTCACTCTCCTGTTTGGTCCCCATGTCTTTTATTACTCTTTTTTTCCAACCTATTTTTAAAAATAATTTAAGAACGTATATTATCTGGGTTCAGTTATGAATTGAGACTTGGGTCAAATCATGGAAGATGACCAGCAGCTATCAAGTAATATCCCAGCCATCAGTCAATACCTTGAAGAGTGCACTGGGAGGAGGGAGCAGGTGGGAGAAAGCACATTTTAACAAAACTGTGCAACTTAAGATCGGTCATCAAATGAAATTATTTTGTTTTAGTTATATTGAAAGGAAAAAATTATTTGGAATGTGGAAAATAAAAATTTTGATAATTATTCCATTTACATGCTGTAATCTTTGTTCTTAGCTCTTAGCAACAATTTGCAAAGAAAATAAAATATTCAAATTTTTAATATTCATTCACAGGATTAGGGCATCACTGGCTCGGCAGCATTTATTGTCCATCAGGCAGTTTAGAGTCAACCACATTGCTGCGGGTCTGGAGTCACATGTGGGCCAGACCAGGTAAGTTTGGCAGTTTCCTTCCCTAAAGGACATTAGTGAACCAGATGGTTTTTCCAACAATTGGCAATGAATTCACGGTCATCATTAGACTCTTAATTCCAGATATTTATTGAATTCAAATTCCACCATCTGCTGTGGTGGGATTCAAAGCTGGGTCTCTAGAATGTTATTTGGGTCTCTGGATTAACAGTCTAGCAACAATACCATTAGGCCATCACCTCCACACCACATGACATGCAAAGCTCAAGTCATGCAAATAGCCTACATTAAGCACATTGAGACACACATGTTTGATGAGTTTTGAATTTTTGAAGGGGTAAATATATTTTCGGGTCTTTTAAGTTTCCAAGCAACATTGAACCTTACGTCAGGAACGCAGAGTTCAGGCAACTCCCAACCCTATGAACCTAAACAAGGATATTTTTGTCCTAAAAGTTCAATATGCATTTTGCAGTGGTATGTTTCCCTGAGTGGTGGTCTGGGAAGCCCCAGATTAAAATAAAGGTTGCCTTGGTGCACCAGCACTGTGATGAAGTTTAACTTTACAAAAAAAGTCTCTCCAACCTTTAACCCTTACATCTCCAACAGTCTCACTGGTCACCTATACCAACCCATTCTCCTCATGCCCCCAACCTTTCATGGTTCCTTTTGCCACCCCTCCAAGACAAACCCCAAAATAACTCCTTTAGCCCCTCATGCCTCCTTGCTAACATACGCCCATCCATGTATCCTCTTGTTGTCCTTTACAGTCCCAGTGCAAACTTACATCAAACCACCCTCCCATTCACCACCATTTGCCTTCACATTTACAACTCACCTTATATCCGCCAAGACCAGACCATAGGACTCATGCTTATATTAGATGAAATGTTATTAAATAAGTGTCTCTTGCTGACATTTCCACATTGAAAGAAACAAAAACATTTCATTCATAAAAATCCATTTAGCTACATTTTGCATTCCTTCAACTAAACAATACGTTATGACAGACATTTTATTCAAGAACACAACAAGCACTGGAACCCATAGTCCCACACCAAAGATCCAGTATAACCATTTGTGGCTGTTAATGTGGGAAATTGAACTGAAGATTCTGAGAAATGAAACACAGTCCACTGTGATCAGGGATGATTGTGAAATCAGTCATGTAGTAGTAATTCTATAATGACAGTGCCCAGGCTTATGTCAAGAGACACTGAAATAACAAGATTTCTCTAATTATTTGCAAGGCAGGACATTTAAATGCTTTGAATGCTTGATAATTCCCTTTGACAACTGCCTTTGAAAGATCTTTATGACACTTTAAACATGTTTTATTGATATTGTTGAAATCCTGGTTGACAGTTCCCTTTGACAGGTCCTCTGGCAGCTCATTCCATACACGCACCACCCTCTGCATGAAAAAGTTGTCTCTTAGGTCCCCTTTAAATCTTATCCCTCTCACCTTAAACCTATGCCCTCTAATTTGGACTCGCCCACCCCAGGGAAAAGCCCTTGTCTATTTATCCTCTCCATGCCCCTCATGACTTTATAAACTTCTATAAAGTCATCCCTCAGCCTCCGACGTTCCAAAGAAAATAGCCTCAATCTATGCAGCCTCTCCCTCTCGCTCAAATCCTCCAACCCTGGTGACATTCTTGTAAATCTTTTCTGAACCCTTTTAAGTTTCACAAAATCCTTCCTATAGCAGGGAGACCAGAAATGAATACAGTATTCCAAAAGTGGCCTAACCAATGTCCTGTATAGCCGTGACATCACCTCTCAACTCCTACACTCAACGCACTGAACCTTAAAAGCAAGCATACCAAATGCCTTCTTCACTATCCTATCTACCTGCAACTCCACTTTCAAGGAACAAGTTTTCTTTGTTCAGCAACATTCCCCAGGGCCTTACCATAAAGTGTATAAGTCCTGCCCTGATTTACCTTTCCAATACGCAACACTTCACATTTATCTAAATTAAACTCCATCTGCCATTCCTTGGCCCACTGGTCCATCTTCAAATTAATTTTACAGTAATTCATTAAAGCACCTCTTATATGCACATATGTGCCTATTTTTAACCATTCTAATTTGGAAGTTACCTTCCCCCAAAGGTGGCCAAGAACCACATCCAGAATGATGACTTACCTCTCCAAAGCCATATCTTGGCTATTCTAAAGAAATCAAAAAACTTCAGACACTATATGTGCAAGTTCAATTTGAACATTTTGGATTTCACATTCCTAGGCTACCAAAGTCCTATGTCAGGCAGTTTTCAGACAGTTTCGGCATGATGAGAAGATTTCCATTGACAATCTGGACCATTCATTTAACACTTAGTGTCATATTGAATTTCTGATGCTACCATAATCATGATACAAGTTAGATATAACCATTGAACATGTCCTAGATAAAGGTAACTATGTGTAAAGGAAAGTAGGCGATAGGTTTAGATAGAGGATCTGGATCAGCGCAGGCTTGGAGGGCCGAAGGGCCTGTTCCTGTGCTGTAATTTTCTTTGTTCTTTGTTCTTTGTTCTTTGAAACGTGGCTGTATTGATGTATTTGCACAATGGCAGCACATAACAAGGTTGCCATGTTTTTGTTGTCCCTGCATTGGCCAGAGGTAGTAATGATGAAACTTTTGTTTAAACTGCCGGTAACAATTTTCTTGGCCACTCTAGAGAGCCATTAAGAGATATTCACATTGACATGTGACTAAGCTCAGGCTCTTTAAGGAGACAACGTTTCCTCCCTCTTGAGCATTAATGAGCTAGTGCTTTTAATCACAATCATTACAACTTCATGGTCACTTTTACTCTCACCAGTTTCTTATTTTTTGGATTTTGAGAAGCAAGTTCAAATTCTCAGGTTAGTCAGTGCCTTGTATTACTAGATCAGATACAATTCGTCTGCAGCACTGTAATCCTGGAGCAAGCAGTGAATGAACATCATGCATCTATGGATTTCTCGTTTTGCTGATTGAACATCATAGTCAAAGAACACATCAATGATTATTGGTAAAATATATGTAATAAGAGTAATATTCATTCATTTCAGGCATATACTTACTCTCCACAATTACTCTTCTGCCTGTCCAGTCATCGTTGATTAGCTGGATATTTCCAAAATGAACATCACTCATAAATATTCGATTTGAGCCCTTTGAATTTTGCCGGTAATCAAAAGTCAAGGCAATCACATTTTTGAAGTATTCCGGTTTTTCATATGGCCTTATTGGAGGGTTTAAATTAGTTTCATCTGTAAGGTGGATGCTCTTCAGTATTGTTCTCTCCGAATAGATCAAGTACCCATCATAATCATGACAGCTGGCTGCATCCGCAGCAAGGACACTGTATGAACATGCACAGGTTTTTTGACCCTTTCCACGGTACAAGCAAAGCTGCTGGCATCCACCATTGTTCTTTGCACAAATATTGGTACCTGTCATGATATAGTTTTGCATTGTTAGATCATCCATATTAGTAAAGTAGCATTGGCTGACTGAATATATGCAGCAGGGAGAAAATACAAAAGGATTTTGAACTCAGTACTTTTGGTCTATCAGGGAAGTGGTATTCTCTGCTGCATAAAAATGTCTTACCAGTTTAATTTCAGACTTAATTGTTTACTTTATATTTTCCCAAGCAAGGGAATAAATCATCAATTATTTCTAAAGTGGAATGGGTGTAAGTGTGTGTTTGCAGAATTTGCTTTCATTTCAAATTTTCTACTGTGGATCTAACTTCATTAAGTTGATAGATACTAACCCAGTATTCCTGCTCCGTGCTATAGTTTTGGACCTCCAACAGATTTACTAACTGTTCCTCTCCTGGTTTGCTCAATTTCTGCAAAAATAACTTTAACTGCCTAACACATGGTACGTAAAATAAGCATGTACCAAAATGTCTAAGATATGTAATAAGGCATGAAGGTTGCTTGGATTCTAAAATTTAGGTGTACATAATGCAAAACTTGCTAAAAGCTAAAAGCCAGAACTTGTATAACCTCTAACAAGATCTAAGTTGTAGAAATGCACGCTTCTCTCTCTCAACGTTCATGTAAATATCGCTGGGATTTATTACTTGATGCAAAAATGCATGACTAGGCTTATACATAATCCAAAATAAGCGTGGACTAGTTGGGCATGAAACACTACGACTTGAATAAGTTTCAGGCTCAGGATACTTTAACAGCAAGACTTCATTTAAATATTGCACAGCCAGCAGGATAAGAGCAGAGTATTTTAAGGCAAGGTCAAAATTCACACTACACCAAGTTATAGACCATCAGGTAGTTTTTGGCTGTGTATCACCTGCCAGGTAAGAGAGGACCAAGAGGTTGTGATAGGGTCATACAGAGAAGAAGGCATAAATCTGGAGCAAAGGTGATTAGGTCTTAGGAAAGATCTCACGGGCCTTTCAAAATCACTAAGTAATCCTGTTCAGGCTACAGGAAAGGGTTAAGTTACAAAAAGGGCAAAACATCTTCCCATTTTAACTGATGATATTCTTGATGCCTGCCAAGCATTAAGGGTTAAAACTGAACCTACTTTATCACCCTTGGCGCAGTGTCAGAGCCATTACCTCTGTGCTAGAGTTATCAAACTCTACAGGACCAGGTTCACCTCAGCACTCTTGTTTATGCAATGCCTTGTCAAGGGCATGGGGTACACTGGGTGTGGGCTGCTGTTTTGAACCTGCTCCTACTAGGGGTACTATTCTGCCTCGTGCCCATATGCAAAAAAGGCAGAGAGGAAATCAGCCTTACAGATACGATCATGCTTGAATATCTGAGTGGCAGCCTGCAACAAACTAAAACACTGGAGCTAACATTTGTAATAAAATATGTTCTTGTTCTGATCACCCAAATTGATACCAATATGAAGTGAACACCATAATAATAGCCACCATCATATTTTTAAGAACTCTTCTTTAAGGCACATAGGCTCGGCATTTTCTCAGTCATTTATGTTACACTATGTTCCCATCAATTCCTCATTTCCCTTTCATTGATACTACTTTGTACTTTCACAACCAGCTTGCATCTCCAGCTGGGATTGTCTGACAGTAGCTCATAACTCAGACTAAAATGGCAAACCATTAATCAACTTCAAGATGAAAACCTCCTTTAATCATGCGAGCAGTTAAATTTACTTTTTCTAAAGGAAATGTGTTTGTAGCAAATTGAACTAATTCTACAGCTTGATCCAGATGTAATAACACTAATTTCACAAACTGGGAGAATTGAATTGTCAAGCACATAATGACACATTGCTTAATTTTGAAAGATTATCCAAATACTTTTTGTAGTTAATTTAACTGCATTGAAACATTAGGCACTTGACAAAATCCCTCAAAGAATGTTATTTTTTGGCTAAAATAGCATACCTTTTCATAATTGTTCTTCAACTCTTTAAATTTCACTAAAATTGAGGTATCTATTCAATGTATTCATATCGTAATTTCAAATGTCTCCCATGCAAAACACTGAAAAAAAAAATAGACCTTTCTCCCTGGCTCGGTTGAAAACCTTCACACCCTTCAGATTTACTCCAAGATGGGTTCTCACGGTAACAGCATCAGTAGCATTGTTTTTGTGCCCTCTTTTGATGGACCCGTTGGCATGTGCTCTGTCAAAAGTTCAAACAAGTAATTAGCACAATAATTTAATTAAAGTAATGATTTACCATCGTAAGGAGACACGGGACCTTGTCAGGTTGTTAGACACTCCTGTGGCTCAAATTCCAATGTTAAAAATGGCTCACCTCAGGAAATTATAACCATTCAGGATTCCTATTATGACCTTGCTCGTAAAGAGCTAATCCTTTACAGATTGGAAATCAGGCACTGCAAGAATATTTTGAATCCTGAACACTTATGGGAAAATAAATTACCTGTCAGACCAGAAGATGTAAACCCCGAAGACTGCAACTGAAAACATGTCCATGTTGTTGCCTGACAGCACAATCTCTCGGTTTTCTCCAGTTTCAAGATCAACTCTCTCTATCTTGTCTGTACGGGCATCACACCAGTATAATTTATTTTCCTGTGGATCAATTGTATAGTAAACATCAGCAGAATTTTATAAGTTGTCTAAGCATCTTATTTAATAAAAAAAATACAGAGCTCAAGGAAGGAAAAAAAATGCTTAAACATGACCGAAGAAAAGGTTGTAGACATTCTTTGGAGAAGGCTCAGTAGTCAAACCTCATAGTCAATTGATATCCCATTTGGCCAAGCAATATTGGAGCTCACGAGGACAATTTGTTCTGATCCATCCAAACGTGCTCTACCAATACAAGGCTTCCGCCCCCATTCTGTCCAGAACATGAATCTATTGAAAAGATAGACAAGAAAATATGTATTATAAAATTCTCAAATGATTATATGCATGATTATGAACTGTTGTCATAATCGTTCAAAAAGCTAAGTCCTCTGCACATTCTATACTCTGTGTTCTCATTATTTGCCATTGACCCCTGCTACATAATACCTCTACAACTATATTTTTAATATCTTTATTGAGCATTCAGTGTATACAATCAGAATACAGCATTGATCAAAACAGAATGTAATTGGTCTCCCATACAAAACAATAAAATACAAAATGAATGGACCTTTTCTGCTAGCTTGATTGAAAACCTTCACACCCTTCAGATTGACCCCAAAGTGAGTTCTCATTGAGTGCAGAATGAAAATTGTGTCACAGAGGCTTGTATGATTGAGCACACGCATATAATGGCAACCCTGTAGAGTAAACTTTGAGGTTGTACATAATGATTAAACTGGAAGTTAGAATGTATCAACAGGGAAGGTACATTATTTTAGAAGGTATATAATTCAGTTAACAAGAAAGAAAGCTGAATTACCCTTTATATTATTTCAAAAATAGATTTGGATTTTTAAAAACTATGTTTCATTCAACAAATCAAATATTATTTCTGAAACTGTACACTGCCATGATGTGAATAGCTAAAGTCTCCTTACAGAAAAAGTGACAAATCTTTATTTAGCAGATGAAACAAAATCTCAGCAGAGACTCAACAGACACAAATCAATGCCTGAAACAGGCCTGTCAGTGTCTGCCAATCAGTTCAGAGAGATATTTCCTGGGGAATTAAAACATAGATAAAGCGTCTCAAAAGTGGCAACCTCGAAACTGAGTCTGTGCTGCACTTTGGGCCTTCTGGTTTTGGAACAAACGCCCAGAGGCATTTCAGAGTACCTGAAGTGTAACTAGATAAAAACTGACAGTGATCAAATCTAAGTTTAAGGTAGCAACATTAAAGCTGGACATTGCTTTGGATAAGGCCACAATTTAAAAACTGTCTTCACCTCAGGTCACTGACAGAAACACTCAGGGCAGAATTTGTACAGAGAAGTTCAACTCCATGCCTTTTGCCGAGCTGCGTCAGGTAGGGTCAAAGGTCACTCCAACCACTGGGATAATGGGTTACAACAGGCGTACAAGGTGAATGACTACTGCATCACTACAGCAACTGGCCCAACAAGCCAATACATTTTTAAAAATATATATTATTGGCCCTTAAAATTCTTGCATGGTCTGCTCAAAGCAAATTCGACTTTTTGGACATTGCAGATTTTCAGATAAATGCCTGAAACCTATTGCCTCTTGGTCTTTCTCATGATAATCTTTGTATTTTAGAGAAAGATTAAATTCAGCCACAATTTTAAAAAAAAGGGAGCAGGTCTTTATGTTTCTTGGATTTCTCAATCAGTACAGGTCTGGTGGGCCAAATGGCCTACTTCAATGAAATATTCTCATAAAGCAAATTTTAGAAAGGAGGGGGCTGGATTTTCTTTTATTCATTCATGTGGGTATCACTAGCAAGGCCAAAATGTATTGCCCATCACTAAATACCCAGAGAGCAGTTGAGAATCAATTGCATTACTGTGGCTCTGGAGTCACGTGCCAGCCACACCAGGTAAGAATGGCAGATTTCTCTGCCTAAAGGGGCATTAGTGAACCAGATAGGCTTCCCCCTAACAATCAGCAATGATTTCATGGTCATCATTAAACTCTTGTTTCCAGATTATTATTGAATTCAAGTTCCACCATCTGCCGTGGCAGGATTTGGGCCCAGGTCCCCAGAATATTCCCTGAATCTCTGGACTAATAGCCCAGTGATAATATCACTAGGCCATCACTTACCAGGAACCGGATTCCTTGCCCCTGGTTAAAAGACAGAACAGAGCCCACCGAAGAGAATACCAACTAAAAGATAACTAGGTAGGACTTCTGCCTTTTTGGATCAAGAAACTTCACTTCACAGAGAAGCTGGCCAATCACAGGCTAATTAGATTGGTATTTAGGAGTGTGTTTGGTGATTTACTGTGTGCCAAGTTGGCAAGTTAGGGGAACAGATAGGCATTTCTGTGGCTAAAGATGCCATGACAGTGTATTGCCTCCCTGGTGCCAGGGTTAAGAATACAATTAACCGGCTGCAGGACATCCTGAAAGGGGAAAGTGACAAGACAGAGGTTTTGGTAGACATTAATATCAATGTTATAGGTAGAATAAGCTATTTGGTCTGACATCAAGAAATTAGGGAGCTAGGCAGTAGACTAAAGAACAGTCCTCAAAGGTTGTAATCTCTGGATTACTGCCCATGCCACATGCTGGCAAGTATTGAAATTGGAGAACAGGGCAGATGAATGTGTGACTTAGGAGTTGAAGCAGGAAGGAAGATTTTAGACTCCTGGATCAATGAGTGCAGTGGGTACACAGCATAGGAACCAAGGCAGAGGAAATTCAGCCATGTGAGTTTCAAAGGAGTAAGGCAGGATTTGAACGACCCCTACTTTAATGCGAGGAGTATTATAGGTAAAACAGATGAGGTAATAATGAACACATGGGATTATGATGTTTTTGCCATCACAGAGACATGGTTGAGGGAGGGGCAAATCTGGTAAATCAACATTCTGGTTTATAGGATGTTCAGGTAGGACAGAGGATGGTCCAAAAGAGGAGTTGGGTGCATTAATAGCCCAATTAAGGGCTTCAAACATGCCCATTGATAGTCTTCCTGTGCTACACCACCTTAAATAATTGCAATGGCAAGAGAGGCAGATAGGTAGAAAGTGGATAGGTCAGTACTAGATTTAACAAGTCCCCCACCCCACCTTCAAATCCAGCACAAAATTTGCCTCATAAGAGAAATACCCAGAAATGTCCTGGATTATTTAGCATTAATTTACATTTAATTAAAATTAACTTTGTATTACATTCAGAAGTCCAGAAGGTGGTGCTCATTTAGCAGCTGTTTAGTTTAAATTACGTTGCTAATACATTAGTAACCCCCTCCCTGCTCGTCATGTTCTAATCATTGCCTCTGGAGTACTTGACAAGCTTAATGCACCTTTGGTAAATTCAACCAAATCGATCTTTCCTGTTGAATAAAAGATACTCATCTGTACCTGAGAAGAATTTAATACAATTTCCTGCAGAAATAATTGTGCAATAGTAACTATAGTTTTGGACAAATTAACCATAGGCTTTATCCCTTAGATGTTCAGTTTATCACCAATTCTAAACTGTAGCTCAGTATTATCTTGGAGAGAAACAGTACTCTAAGTGAACTATTTTCAATTTGAAACACCCTTTCCCATAGGGAATTAACATAGAATGCATAATTCCCCTTGTTGGAGAAGGGTGATATGCTCTCATCCCTTAACATCAGATTCTTTGTGGTTCTGGGTTAGGTAGGGGTAGGCAGTTTTCTGATTCCCTTTCAGTTGTTACCACTTTCAGAACGTTCTGCTGAAAGTGATGGTAGCCATGTACCATATCTGACCAAATGTATTTGAAATGATGGAGTGACAGTATTAGTCAAACATTGCAGGTTTATTTTTTGCAGTTGTAGAATTGCTGAATGCATTAAAAAGCATTCTCTCTGAAATGAAATCATAGGATGGAAGGGAGCTTAACATTTGTTAAGTCTAGTGACTTAATGGTACTTCCAATGTTGACCTTTTTTAAACAAAGTTTTAACTTGATTGTCAATCTTCTTTATGCTCTGGTGCCGTTTAAGGTCTGCAGCACAAGCTTCTTCCTTAATTACTACACACTCTCCCAATCCTCTCAGCTGTTCAAGACAGCCAGGAATTCTGAACAGGACCTCCTAAGCTATCACAACAAGGCTGATCCTAGAAAGTCTAGGAAGGTCAATGGGGGAAAGCCAAGTGGATGGATGCCAACAAGATCTTGTCTCATCATCATAAAAGCAGGATTGTTCATATTCAAAATAAATTCATGGAGGTTTATTTTAATGAATAGAATGATGTTTGGGTGTCACTTTGGTAAGCAGTAAGCTCATTTTAATGTGAATGACTGGAGTTCCAATCCAAGCTTTCAAGGATCAGAAGAATGTCAAACTCTGCAAGAAAATTTCAGATAGAAGTAAACTTTAAGGCAGTATGGAGCACAGTGGTTAGTACTGCTGCCTCATAGTCCCAGGGACCTGGGTTCAATTCTAACCTAGGGTGCCTGTCCCCATGTCTGCGTGAGTTTCCTCCCACAGTCCAAAGATGTACTGGTTAGGTGGTTTGACCATGCTGAAGAAATATTTGCCCTTCAGTACCTAGGGATATGCGGCTTAAGTGAGTTAGGCGTGGCCTGTCAATCGATTCATTGATGGGATATGATTCTTAAAAATTCTCTAGATTCCAGAATGGTTTTAGCAAACAAGGACCAATAGGCCAGTTAGTTCATATAAGGCATTGGAAAAATGCTGGAAACTACTGTAAGGGAACTCTTAACAATGCATGTAGAAAATCATAATAATCAGACAGAGTCAATGCAATTGTTCACAAGTGAAATCATACTTGACAATTTTAATAGAGTTTTTTGATAATACATTACTATTGATGGAGAATTGGTTAATGGAAAGGAAATGAAAAATTAGGATTAACTGGACAGTTTCACATTTGTAGCTGTAACTAGTGATATATCACTTGGATCAGTGTCAGACTCTCAACCATCTATAATCTATAACAATGATTTTGATAAAGGGATGGAGTGCAATGTTTCCAATGTTTCCAAGTTAGATGAAAATGTAGGCTGCGTGTAGACAGCAGAGAGATAAGGATTGGTTAGTGAGTAGGTAATAGAGTTGTTGATGCAGTATAGATGTGAAATTATGTGTTTAATTGAAAGACCAGGAAAACAATATATTTTAAAAATGGTATGAAATGTCTAATTTGTGATGTTCGGAGACACGTCGATGCAGAAGTGTAAGTAACGCGGAAAGTTAATGGGCAGTAATTCAGATAATTAGGAAAACAGTAACAGAGTGGTCTTTGATTTAAACAAATTGGGGTACAAGATTCAGGATGTCTTTCTACAATTGTGTAAGACTTTTGTCAGACAACACCTGGAGTACTGTGTGCAGTTTGATTGTCATATGTAAGGAAGCTTTTTTTTCCTTCTTTCTTCATTCATTGGATAAAGGCATCACTGGTTAGGCCAACATTTATTGCCCATCCCAGTGGGTAGTTAAGAGTCAACCACATTGCTGTGGGTCTGGAGTCACATGTAAAAGACGAGGTAAGGATGGCAGTTTCCTTCCCTAAAGGACACTAGTGAGCCAGATAGATTTTTTTACGACAATCAGCAATGACTTTATGATCATCATTAAAGTCATAATTCCAGATTTTTATTGAATACAAATTCCACCATCTGCCAGATGGTTGTTCCCAGAACATTAGCTGGGTTTCTGGATTAACAGTCCAGCGATAATATCACTAGGCCATCACTTTCCCCTTCCCCATACACATGCATTGTAGTTGGTACAGCAAAATTTCTGGAGTGGAAGCACTGCCCTATGATGAAAGGACGATTGAAGTTGCTCTATATTCTTTGGAGTTTGGAAAGATGAGAGGAACTTTAAATCAACACAAGGTTCTGAAAGGATTTGATCTTTCCTGGGTGTGAAATCCACAATGTGAAAGTGCAAGGCAGGATACTATTTAGGATTTAGACAAGGAGATAGTTCTGCTTTTGGGAGGGCATGAATGTTTGGAATTCTGCATTCTGTATCCCAGAGGATTGTGGTTGCTTCACCATTGAGTATATTCACATTGCGATAAACAGAGTTTGGAAAGCAAAGGATATGGACAGCAGATGGAAAAGTGGATTAAACCAGATTAACAATAATCATATTGAAAGATGAAGCAGCCTTGAATGAGCATATAATTTACTCCTATTTCTTTGATTTTATATACCTGGCACTTTTAGGTTGCAATGAGCTTGGAATCATGGGACATCTGAGGAAAGATAGCAGGGAGTGGAATGGCATTGTGGTAATGTCGCTGGGCTAGAACAGACAATGTTCTGGGACCAGGATTTGAATCCCACAATGACATACAGTGAAATTTGAATCCAATAAAAATCTGAAATTGGAAGTCTAATTGTGACAATGATTTTGTTATGGTGAAAACCTATCTGGTTCTCGATACTCTGTAGAGAAGGAAACTCACTGGCCTCACCTGGTCTGACCTGCACATGACTCCAGATCTAAAGCAATGTGGCTGCCTACTCACTACCCTCTGAAATGGTCTAGCAAGCCATTTGGTTGCTAAAAAGCCTCAAAAAAGAATAAAACCAGGCAGACCATCTGGCATCAACTAAGGCACCAGAAATGACAATGTTTCACAACATTCTGTTGAACCTGCATGGCCACCAGCTGCTATTAACAAAATTGGGAAAGTTGTATCACAGGCTAGTCAAGCAAGTGTCACATTATCAAATTCACAGAATCATAGTTTACCACAGACAAAACCGTAACTCATCACACCAAGATTGCTTGGTTTTCAGGGCATCTGCTCAGGAATGCTTTTATTAGTAGTTGTGCTGATGGAGGAGTTATGTTTTTTAAACAAATGGAAAATATGCCTATAACTTGACTCTGTTGAGGCCAAGATAGCAGCATCACCATCCCTGGGCATATCCAGAAATACCCCAGTAGAGGTGATGGCACACTGGTATACAGTCAGGAGGAAGTTGCCCTGGGAGAATGTCTCATAGTAGTTTGTAAAATATGACCAAGGAAACCCCCTGCAGGTTATTAAGAGCTCCCTCCAACATTCCATCCAAATCATAAGCATGCACAGCCACTCCAAAAGGTCTGTGCACAGTGATTGGAGACAGCACACCAACTGTGGCTTTGACTTTTGGCTCCAGAAGTCACTTCAGTGCACAAACATCAGGGGTCCATGTAGCCTGAAAGAAAATTAGAGGAAATGCTAACCTTCACACCACACATACCACCTCAGCCCATGAATCAGTACTCCTCCATGTGGAACACCACCTGGAGAAAGAAGGGTGCAGAATATAGTCTGGGTAGTGGTCTTCAATGTCCATCACCAAAAGTGGCTCAGCAGCACCTTTACTAATCGAGTGGGTAAAGTGCTAAATGATGTAACTGCTGGACTGAGTCTATGGCAGGTGGTGAAGGAACCAATAAGAGGAAAAAAGCATAGTTGACCTCATCCTCACCACTCTGCCTGCCAAAGGTGCATCTGTCCATGATAATGTCAGGAAGTATAACCTTGTGGGGATGAAGTCTCATCTTTGCTTTAAGTATGCTCTCCATTGTTTTGTGTACCACTATGACCATGCTAAGTAGGATAGACTTCAAACAGATTTAGCAACTCAACACTGGGCATCGATGAGGACTGAGGGTCATCTGCAGCAGAATCATACACCAACACAAGCTGTAACCTCAAGACCAATTATATCCTCCACCATACTATTACCATCAAACCAGAGATCAACCTTGGTTCAACGAGGAATGCAGAATGGCATGCCAGGGGCAGCATCAGGCATGCTGTACACATATAAAACATGGCATCAATTTGGTGAACCAACAACATGATAAAGATCATAGGCAGCAAGTGATAGATGGGGCTAAGTGATTCCACAACCAGCGGGTCAGATCTAAACTCTGAAGTCCTGTCATATTCAAGCATGAATGATGGCAAACAATTAAAAAAAAACAACTCACTGGAGGAGGCAGCTCCACAAGTATCCCATCTTTACACTAGATAAGGCTAAAGCATTTTCAAAAGTCAGAGTGGCATATGTTCTGAGGACATGGATTTGAATCCCACCATGACAGATGGTGAAATTTGAATTCAGTTTAAAAATGTCCGGAATAAACAGCTAGTCTAATGGCAACACTGCTAATTTTTGCAAAGATCTATCTGGCTCACTAATGTCCTGCAAAGAAAGAAACCTGCCATCCTTACTTTGTCTGACCTACATTTGACCCTCAACAAACAACAATGTGTTTCACTCTTGTCTGCCTTCTGTGCAATTAGGGATTGGTAATAAATGTTGGCATAGCCATTGACACTCGCTTCCCATGACAAGTAAAGAATGATACAAACTGGTCCCCACATGAGGTTCCCTGGAATGAAAATTCAGCTCAGAGGGGAGAGAGGGAGGAGAAAGGAGAATGGTAAACAATAAGACTTGGCAAGGACTTTTTTAAAATGTCGTTTCTAAAATTTTATTATCAAGAATTCACAATTCCGTTTTTGGGAAGTATTTATATTTAGCGTTCAGGATTTGCAATAAATGTGGAACTTGGATTGTGCAGAATTAACTCCAAGATGATAAAGTATTTTTGAAAAATGCAAAATGGCACTCACAAACCAAACTATTCTGTGTCAATTTAATTTTTATCCAATCTTTTTATATTCTTCATACCATTATAAAAACAGCTTCTGCAGCGAATTGACATGTGGATCAATCCACCAAATCATGAACATATCCTCTATAACTGGAGCTGACTACTCAGAAGCTTTCAGCCGTGAACTTAGAAGTGGCTGAATGAGAAATTGAGGCTGACATTGCTCAGCTGAAGAGAGCAGGCAAGGATGTAAAAATAGATCAGTCGATTGAAATGAAGAATAGCACTGAATATGGCCATCAAGCTAATTTTCTCATCTGAAAAGAAAGCTGGTTTACCCTTTTTCTGGATGGACAGCTATTGCACGTGGCTGATCAAGCCCTTGGGAGATGACCACATAGCGAAAAGAGCCATTAAATCTTGCAACTTCTATTATATTGAAGCCATAATCTGACCAATATATATTACCTGTGAAAGATGTAGAAGAGATAAATGTTAATGTTCCATCAAGCTACAACATTAGGAGATAATTGAAAAAATGGATAGAAACATTTCATACCAGCTATCCAATCAACTGCTATGCCTTCAACCCGTCCAAGACCATTTGTGATAATATCATCCCTCCAGGTCTGGTCTCGTTTAGCTCTGCTAATTGTACTCCTTCCCATATCTGTCCAATAAATTGTATCATTCTCTGTAAATAAAATTTGATAATTGAAATTTCAAAAGTCACTAATTTTCCAGGATGTTTCACAAATCAAATTCTAACAAGAATGTTTTATCTTTTAAATGAACCTTTATTTTGGTGTCTACTTCCTCAGGTTCATATCAATTTTCTTCCCTCTGCCTGCAAGGTGTGCATTAAATATTTCTTTTGCTTAACTTTAAATGCTGTTCTTCATGTATGAGACCATGTATAAAAATACATGCAACCTACACTGATATCACAGTCAAGTTCAATTTTGTCTCATGTAAAAGTATAAACACAGATATGTGGACACATTTTCAACATCAGTCAGGATCTGGAATTTTGAACTTTGATCTAAATTGGGCACAGGCTCAACAGTGCCTGCCCAAAGGCCACATTCAGAAGATGTGGACCAGTTTTAGGTTTAGGTTTTATTTAGATTTTAGCAATGAATCATAGGAGTTAAAAGAATGCTCCATCAATAGTTCCAGAGGAAGAGAATTCAGATAACTCTGTTTTTGGGGTGTGGTGAGATGATAAGGATAGCTGGGAGACAGAAGACTGAGTAAGGTCTCATGGGATATTCTCCTAATTCCATAAATGTGCTTGTTTTGCTTCATAAATGTAATTGTTCAGTTGTTCAGAACCTGGGTATTGCTGAAACCCAACATATTTTGTCTAAGCTTTTTGTCCTACACTTATCAGGACAATGAGAAAGAAATACCAACGTTAAAAATAAACAACATTGATACTGTATGAGAGAAGAATGCTAATAAGTCAACACATGAAATCTAAGCAGTAGAAGTGTTGCCATTTGGATGATTTCTGAGAGTAACTTACCAAACTTCGTATTTTTTTATTTTAAGCCAGGCAGGTTGATTCTGATTGGTCATGACATTGCCCTGAAGAATGAATGAGAGAATACCTCTCATCTATTTTCTGTATGGCAATACCTTTACCAAACAGAGTATAATATAGTTTTGTATACATTTTCTTTTCCCTTTACATTCTTCATAAAGAATGATATTTTCCTGAGCAGCATCCAGACTGTGAGGACATCTACCATTTATAAAAGAGTTTATTTTCCCATCAGCATTGCTTGTGGACCAGAAGGAGTAGCAATCTTTCCAATCAGCTCCCAAACAGCTGGACCCCACCCCTATTCCCCCACCCCCAATGGGTCATTGTAGTGATCCTATTCCTATCACCACCTCACCCTGTGATCTAGGATTAGACCGCCATCCCTAATTTCCCACTAGCTCAGCAAAAGGCTCCTACTTCTTACTCGATCCAGAATGGTCCCTGCATAAATTGGTGCCATTGCTGTAAAACAGGGAGGTTTCCAGACAGGGCGTTTAATTGAAAAAAAGTTGCATGCTGTGGAGTTTAAGTTTCATGTCAAATGACTGGATGGAAACTCTTCCCCTCACCTCCCACCATCAGAAGACACTTATAAAACTTACTCCTGGCAATATCAAACAGCTGATCAAATCTGATCTATATAATCTACACAGTTGTCAGAGATTATCTTGCTACTCCATAGGGTGCAGTTATAGTATTTTCCAAAAGAATCAATCTAAATAACATCGTTGAAGCATGAACTTAAGTTAACTCATAAATCATAAATAAACTGAAATATCTCCTTGGCACTGAAAACGTTTTTTAGTGTAGAGTGTCATTCTCTCAGAACTTTATTGATTAAAATATGTCTTTGATTTCTATGTTTTGCCTTTTAAGTTCTGTTTTTATTCCTTAATTCTGTTTTGCTTTTTGTATAATATTATTTATATTTCCTGCTTTTATTCCTATGAAGATTTGTTAATCTGATCTATTAATCAGTCTTCCAGAAGATGCCTCATTTCGAGATGGTGTAGATTGCTGTGGATGGTGGCAAATTGAAAAGACAAAGTGCACACTCTGGAGCTCATTTAAAATTTATGGACAACCTTTTCAAGGTGAATGTCATGCACCATTCTCTAACTGCTAATTTGTTTACTTTTGACATTAATATTCTTGAATTTCAGAATTGTTGTGATTTTTCTATGCAGCAGCTAAAGCTGTATTTTGCTATCTATTATCAGCAAATTCACCATGAGCTAAATTTAATAATCAGTGACTTCTGCACTTAAATCACTGACCTTTAATCTTTGACCCCAAGTCCTAGATCTGTAATTGACACCAACATATTGGCAATGATCAGAAATTGGTAGTTTAAGTGCATAAGCCACAAGTTGCGAAGATTAACTTCTATCGTGGAGGAGGATTTCTTATTCAGGAGTAGCAAACACATGGCTCCAATACAAATCAGAATCTGGTTCTCTCTGAAGCAATGGTTGAATAATTACTTTCACATGTAGCACGAGTCATTATGGCAGCTGGAAAGTTTGCATTTGTAGATATAGAGAGGATTTGTTTAGGCTTCAGTTGCAGCACAGAGTTTTGATAGATAGGGGTACAATTTGCAAAATCTGTCCTTTAGTGCTATTTCCAATGCACATGTCAATTTACTGAGATTCCACACTGGAACAGAACCTTGTAAAATTACCAGATTAGTGTTCATGTTCACATCAATGTACTCTAAACACGCAAAGACAGAGAGGTAAAATATCTGAAAGCTTAAATATTTTCATAATGCACAGTAGTAGGAAGAAATATTTTATCAGTAGCATTTATCTTCATATTGAGTGTTGCATGCAATTATTTACAGTCAGTTAAAGGATAACTTAGATTTATATGGGGATTATATGGAATTATTAAGCCTTCAAGAGCAACCCAGCCTCTTGATTTAACAAAAAAAAAACTGCCAGCCCAGGAAACAGCTTGTGGCCTCATCACCAGTCTATAGAATCTGTCACCTTGCCCCCTTATTTCCACTCGAAAGCATATTCTTTTTGTTCTGGTCAATAACTATTTCCCATAAATGTCTCTTTCCATTTTCTTCATACAATCTGTACTGTTATTTCTCAATACCACTATCCTGCTGAAAGAAGTAGAGATTGTCTGGAATTTACTAATCAGAGATAGACTCCAACTCATTTGCACATTAGTGAGTATCATGTCTACAAGAAGAAGGAAGTACTAAACTGCAGGACTCAACCCATCAGAAGACAAGGTGCCTATCCTGTGGCCAAAAAGCACAGTGGGCAGGCAGCACCAAGTGTCACGGCAATCCTGAGCTCTGGAGTAAGCACTGCTAGAACTGCAGACAAACCGAGACAGGAGGCCCAACAGAACTTCAAAGTGAAGTCAGTCTTGGGTTTTTGTTTGCATGATTTGGTGGGGGTGGGTGGTGGTTTGAAGAGCATGTAGGTTGGAAGGAAGGGTGTACTATCTTTCTATCTTCATGCTATACCCTCCAATGGCTTCACCCCCTTTTTTCCTACCATTTTAAGCACTTCTTAAAAAAAAAAATCCCGTTCCTGCCTGTCTGACCATGCTAATTGTTTTGGAATCTGAACAGTATAATTTTTGGTGTCAATGGAGTTTTCAATTAACTTTTAATTATTTCACTATGTGTGATAGGTAGGCTGCTAACCTTAATACCCTACCACCCTCAGTATAATGGAGGTGAGCTCAGGGATGGGTGGGAAGATGTTGATGGGTCTGGCATCAATTTATATTCTGTGTCCACACCGTGTCCCCCCCCCCACCCCCAACAAAAACACACCCAACTTGTAATATCGAGCCTGAAGTTTCATCTGTTTGGCGATTGCTGAGAAATGCAAATTGCTGCAGTGACTATGAGAACGTTATTGTTTGAATTGTCACTGTTAACTTAAACTGCTGAGCATGGAGAGTGAGAACACTGAATCATGAGGGTAGAAGCCAATTGTTCTGATAGTCTGCTTCCTGACTGTCTTATGAACAACTAGGTTGGTTAATGTGAAAATTTGAAAATAATCACAATAAACAATTCAAAAGGGAAAAAGACTTATCCAGTGAGGATAGACCTTATATTATGGTGTAGACACAGAGATAACATTTTATTCTAAATGCAGCTGAAATATGTATTTGTCAATAATATACTAATAATAAATCCTGTAAACTTCTATATTTTTCATATGTAGAACGATTTGCTGCACAAATACTGGAACTATATTGTATCTAACTTGTGTTGCACTAAATAATCTGGACGATAATGCTTATGATTTTAATTTTGTTACATTAATTTGAAGGTGTATTTATGTTAATAATAATGTAGTTTTTTTAGTTTAACTATAATTCCTGTCTGACATATTATGAACTGCCTTACTCCCAAGGTACAGAATCACTTCTTTCTTAAGTTACAGACAGAAAGTGCTGGAAAAGACCCAGCTGGTAAGGCTAGGTGTAAAACATTGAATGGAATTAAACACAACCTTCTCCTCCACACTGACCAGGATTGAGCAGAGAGGTAGAAGTGCCTTTAATGGTGCAAAGGTTACGGCAGGAGAATCTTTTGTCTTTTGCCTTCCCATCTACTTTTAATTAAGCCCTGGGCAGAAAAGGTCAATGTTAGTCAACTACAGACCACTCAGTCTATTGCTACTGATATTCTATACACTACAAATGATTTCTTGCCTTTATCATTTGTCATCCATGCCCTTTATTTTATTCACTTATGGTACAAGGGCATCAATGGTTGGTCAGCACTTATTGCCCATCGCTAGTTGCCTATGAGAACGTAGTGGTGAGCTACCTTCTTGCAGTCCATGTGCTGTACGTAGACCCACAATGCGCTTGGGGGGGTGGGGATAGTTCCAGGATTTTGACCCAGTGACAGTCAGGATGATGAGTGATTTGGAGGAGAACCTGCAGGTGATGGTATTCACATGTATCTACCGCCCTTGCCCTTCTAGGCAAAAGTGATTTTGGTTTTGGAAGGTGCTGTCTAAAGGTCTTAAGCAAATTTCTGCAGTGCATCTTCTAGAAGACACACAATGCTGGTACTAACCAGCAGTAGTGGAGGAAGTCAATGATTGTGAATGTGGTCCCAATCAAGTAACTACTTTGTTCTGGATAGTGTC